CAAGAATGTGTATTGTATTCTGCATTAAAAATGCTTACAATCGAGGAATAAGTAACATAACTAGAGTGACTATTCTTTAGCATGTCCAGTGGCACGTGTCTCTAATCTAAATCTGATGTGAATTGTATATTGAAACCATGTTATCCTATAATAAGGTTACAAAATAACTTGATTTCATTTCTGCCATATACAATTGACATAAGATTTGGAATAGATATGTAATTAAAAAAATAGATTGACTATTCTTTAGCTTCAAGTGCAAAATCTTGGTGTTATTCATTCGAATGGAATAAAAAAGGAAATAAAACACCAAATTGGAATAGGAAATTCTACAAATGAATATAATAGAACAAGTTTACTTATGCATTATTTATAACTAAAATATGCATGATGTATTAACTAAATATGCATTATGAAATAAATATGAATTTCTTATTCTCAGTTAAATATGCATTGTTTATAACTAAAATATGCATGATGTATTAAATAATTATGCAAAAGAAACAAATTAAATATGCTTTAATTGTACAATATAAAAATTGAAGGGTCATATTGTAATTATTCTATCTATAAATAAATTACATATTGAACTCAAGGATCTAATTGCAATAACTTTTAAATTTTAGGAAATTACAACTAGATCCGTAAGGTTTATCTAATTTCCAAAAATTGGCCCAACAATTCCCAAATCTGAAATTAAAATCGAACGGCCGCCAGACATGGTGCTCCTGTGCGTCCGATTGAAGTCGAAAAATTGCATCCATCATTGGACATGGCTCCGACTGCGGCTGCAACTATGGCTGCGCGAGAAGACGACCGATTGAAGTCGAAAACGGCTCCGACTGGCTGCGCGAGAAGACGACCGGTTGAACTCGGAAATGGCTCCGATTGGCTGTGCGAAATGCCGATGACCGACGAGCGGTTGTATCTGCCTTTTGACTTGACGGAATCAGCGCCCTCTATCTTGACTGGCTGGCCACCCGAGCGGGTGGCCTAGCTCGTCAAACTCGCCAGAAGTTTTGCTCTTATCCCCCATCGCCGACAATGAGCTCCAACACGCCGGCGGGACCGACAACACCGTGAAAATCCAGTTCTGGCGGAGATGCTGACCAGTCAAGGTTGTTGGCAGGCTGTCAGCACCGGTCAACGGCTGGTCGCCGAAAAATCCAATTTATTAGTTTTATTTATTATATAATTAATTTGAGAATAATAATTATTTTTCTTTATTTTATTAATATATATTTTCAATTAATTAATATGAGTTATTGATTTACACGAATAGTTAAGATTGAGTTTCACGTACTCATTTTAAAAGGTGTCCTCATTTGATCTACCCCTATATATATATATATATATATATATATTATATTTATAGTATTTTGTACGAAAAAGATAAAACGGGACAAATAGAATGATTCGAGACAAAAATATTCAAAACCGATACCGACATTGTTTAAAACGATTTAATACCGACAACTATAAATATAATATATATATAAAGAAAAGTCGAAACTTTATTTTTCGAAAGGAACCGTTTCAATCCGGTTTGGTACGGGAAAATTCGATTTTCATTCCCCACACTTAATAAAATTTGGTAAAATAAAGGCTTTTTGGGCCTTTCTTGATGGGTTGCTCCATGTAAACCACTACTACGCGTAACGCGTCCCTTTTGTTTCTTCAGCTCAGAAGTCGGAACGAGTTGATAGTACTAAACAGTGAAAGAAAGAAAGAAAGAACGAAAAAAAGAAAGAAAGAAAAAAAAAAAGAAGTCGGAAAAGTTCAATCGAACTGGTATTTGGAAAACACTGGGCACGTTCAGTGTCTATTTATCTCATCAATCCATACGTCTCAACGCACAATCATACCTCGTTTTGTAGTAGTTCAGTGTGCAAAAACCCTTGATTGAATTGGACAATCGGAGGCGCGGCGATTGGAGTGGCGGGGGAGGGAGAAAGATCAAAGATGCGAGGACGATGTGGAAGGAGATTAGAGAGAGAGAGTTCGGAAAATTGCGCCCTAATTTGTTCAGCACTCGCGTTTCCAAATCTAGGGTTTCTTCAATCCAGCTCTCGAATTACAAGGAAATCGTCTCTGCTCACCGCGGCTCAATCAACTCCCTTCAGGTCCTTTTCGAGTTGCTTCTAGCTTTCAGTTTCCCGATTAATATTTTTCAGGGTTTTTCCCCCTCTCGGATGGAAAGGAGGTTTCACTTGGAAAAATGTTGTTTTCTGTTGATAATGGGTGTCACGTTCTTTTGTTGGACGAGGATGCAAGGAAAAGTGATTGTTGATGCCTGTACGTTTGGTTGGAAAATGAGCTGCATGAAATAACTGTAATAGTGATATTTTGGGAAATCTTGTGCTTGAAGCGTGGGTGTATCTTTACCTTTGCGGCAAATTATGGTTCTGTGCTAATTCTAGTGCCTTGAAATTTCCGTGCTTGTTGATCTTCTTACACATTTGTTTCTTTATACAAATAGTCTCTGATAGAACAAAAAGATAAGAGACTTACCTTAGCTATCTAGCTGATGATACTTTTTTCCCCCTCTTATAGCTTGGGTTTTACTATTTCCATATTTATGCCCCGATATTGTTACCAATTTGGTCATAATAATATTTTTTTTATCATAATGTAATCTTGTGTTAAAAGTTTCTCGTCTGGGGTCGTCATTGTGATGGTCTCAAGATCAGGTTGATTTGACAGAGGGACGTTATCTACTGGCTGGTGCATCAGATGCAACGGCTGCTGTGTATGATATTCAGCGCGCAACAAGTTACGAGGGCCGTGGGCTAATAGCTAAACATAATTCTTTATTTAACATCAACAAGCAACATGAGCATGGCCATAAATACGCCATATCCTCAGCCATCTGGTATCCGATTGACACAGGGTTGTTCGTCACTGGTTCATATGATCATCATATAAATGTTTGGGATACAAATACTACACAAGTCAGTGATCTGTCCGTGTGTCTGTAATATATTTGTCGTAAAAGTCTTGGCCATTTTATAGTTCTCAGAATATTTTGTGCAGGTTGTAATGAACTTTAAAATGCCTGGGAAGGTTTATCGAACTGCCATGTCTTCAATAGCAAGAACTCACATGTTAATTGCTGCTGGGACTGAAGATGTCCAAGTTCGATTGTGCGATATTGCCTCTGGTGCATTTGCTCACACTTTGTCTGGCCATCGTGGTATGCTAGTTCTTATGCATTTATTGCAATGTAATTTCTTGCTTTTTTGGTCTACTCTGGATTCGTGTTTAATATTTAAATACTTTTAGTGCAATAATGGTTTTACGCACACCGTTATTATGGTTGACATTATGAAATAAGATTTGTTTATCACATGCATGCACACACATAGTAAGCAGTCATGCAAGACAGCTAAGCTGATTGGCGGAAGTCATTTGGTCAAGTACTGTTCCATATCCCAAGATATTTACATAGATTTTATTAGCTGGTTGCTGATTATTGTTATCTCAAGGTCGACATGGTGTAGAACTCGTAGCGCTTTTTATTGTCTTATGGGGTCATGCCCTCTCGTACTCAACATTACTTAAACCCCGATTCTTCAACTTGCTAATATAAAACGAGTTAAAACCCTTAACTTTTACAACAATATTCATGAAATTGGGTAACTGTCAAATCTGATCTTTTTAGAATTTTTATAATGTCATAGGGATAACTAAGCCATCTTAGTTTGTGATAGGTCAATTGTTGGCATTTCGTCCCAGGGTTGATGATTCAGCTATTCGCACAAGTGATGATAATTAGTGCATTGTAAACATTTTTATTGTTTCTTATATTTTTGTCACCGATCATTATGACGTTTCTCATTCCTTGGACTATCTCAATTTTATTCATCTTCATCCAGCTACTTGGTAGTTGGCAGAATCCATCCTTCTGTAGTTATATACTCCTACCCTTAGCATAAGTCATAATACCTCAGTTATGGAGGTTCTAGAAGTTAAATTTATTTCTTGTCACTTAATTGCATGCGTGTCTTGAACATGGCAAAACCCCTGTTCATTATTATTTGATTCTTATCACAGATGGGGTAATGTCAATAGAATGGTCTACTTCGAGTGAGTGGGTTTTGGCAACTGGAGGATGTGATGGTGCTATACGATTTTGGGACATTAGACGGGCTGGATGTTTTCGTGTCTTAGATCAATCTCATTCTCAGTTTGGGAGGCGCCCCCCTGTCCTTTTGCGCCCAACCGCAAATAAGGTGTCAAATCTCATTAGTTTTAAAGCAATTATTATTTTAGATTTAATATAAATATAATTTGCATAAATTTTGACTTGCAACCATATAATAATTCTCCATTTCATGATTAATGCAATTACTTTGAAAGCTAAATACGTGGGTGTGAATTTATTGGGAATTAAAAATTGGTATTTCTCATATTTACCTTTTGTGGTAGGAAATCTTCTTAATGTAGGAATATTTTAATATAAATCAGATGGAAATTTGACTGTATGAAAAACAAACGAGGGCAATAAATACTACTTCAGCAAAACATATTTTCTGCCACATTTCTATTCCAATGCTTTTGAATAGCGTCATGTATGTTAGGGGCAACATTATTGTCTATTGACATGTAAATACATGCTCTGCAAATAGTATCTACTTGAAGCAACTATATTAGTAAGGGCCTCCCCACTTGCCTGCATGACAGGGTTAAGTGTCAAATCCTCGTAATCTTGTTCATGTTTCTCCAGAAATCTTCGGCCAGCTCAAGCTCCTCTGTAAAAGTCCGTGTCCCTCAAAGAAAATTAGCTAATGGAAACTCTTCAAAATCCCATGGTATTGGTAAGATTTCTAGTCAAGTAAAGCTTGCAAAACAGAGATCGCATCCTGGGATGTTGTCAAGTCATGATCGTGCGACTGGGCATTATGGTGTTGTTACTGGACTTAAAATGACTGAAGATGGCATGTATCTTTTAAGTTCAGGTTGAATTTTCTATCTGCCACCATTATTATTACCTTTTGTGCATCACTATACTGCTGTTAGTTGGATTGTTTTGTAATGTTTGCTTAAAAATGGTTTGATAACTAATTTTTTCATAACAGTAATTGTAATATGCTACCTTTTTTGTCTAGTGCATTATAAATAATGTTTTAGCAAGTGTTTCACATAAGAGTTTATATTGTTTCCTGTTGGCCTGTTCCTTATTATGAGATATGCTTCTATAGGGTTTAACCAACCATAATTGTAAAATGACTTAAATTACGTTCCAATCAGTCTGCATTGTTCTGCTTGAAATAATCTTCTTATCACAACACTCTTTTTCCAAATAGTATTGTCAGAAAGAAATAGAAGATAATATGCATTTTTTTTTTCAGGTTCTGATTCAAGGTTGAGATTATGGGACATTGAATCTGGGTGCAACACACTTGTAAACTTTGAAACTACTCGTCTGCAGCAGAGCAAACAAATTCAGATGGCCGTATCCCAGGATTCAACTATTGCTTTCGTACCATGCATGAACACACTGAAAGTAAAATATTATCTCCATTGATTCGAAATATGTGTTTTCATGTTTGCAAGTGTATGACTTTATGTGACTTGTATTCTCGATCTCGTAGGCCTTTGATATTTGGTCCGGTCAAACAAAGTGGACTTTTCGTGGTCATTATGAAAATGTCAACTGCTGTTGGTACAATGCTCTGGATCAGGTTTATCTAGTTCCCTTACCCTTCCTTTTAAATGCACAGTGGAGAAATTGCTAAATTATGCCAGTACATCTTGTGGAAAATCTCTCATATGACCATGACCCCAACCTTTTTAATCGGTGGAATAAATCCTGAAAGGTCTCTTTCTACTGCCAAGTTTTGAGGGAACTCTTACACATTAATGTACATTAGGTAACTGACAAAAGTTCTCCTTGTGGTGTGCGATTCATAGAATAGAAATAAATTTCAAGTTGGCATTGTAATTTACAAATTGGTTTTATTTTTGGTTTTCTCTGTAATTAAGTTTCATCAGTGAAACTGTTGTTTTATTTATTTATTTATTCTTATCCGTTTAACTTAAGTTTTATGTTTTCAGATGATTTCAAAGAGATTTACAAATTGGTTTCTGCCTTTTTATAGGACTTGTACACCGGTGGTAATGATCGGCAGATTCTTGTGTGGTCCCCGTCCAAATTCATTTCTGAAGAAGTGGGTAGCCTTCTTAAAACCAAAATGTGATGATGTTTGTGCTTTTTGCTTTTCTCATATTAAGCCTTCCAGCATTAACCTTGTTCTTTTGTCAAACATGCAGGACGAGTACAAAACTGAGCAGGATGGATCAGTTGACCAGGATAATTGGAGTGATTAATAATGAGGTTTATTTACTTGGACCTGCTTTTNCATTGTTCTACTTGTACATAAGTATTTGATTGTAATCCGATGAGTCAGCAGCAATATGATTATAATGCTTTATGAACTCATGGCAGGCCTTCATCTTTGTAAAGCCTATTTTGAAACTTTTGGTTTTCTGTGGATGATGATTTTAGGTTGAAATATATGTCGGTTGAATTATTGGAATTCAGATATATAAAAGAGAGGAATCCATGATCTACGGTGTTTTTATTTTATAAGGCCATCTTTAACGGTAGTATGGTAGTATGTTGTGAGGTTTACAAACTCCCCTTTGAAGGTTTTACCACGATAAAAGCAGAGTGTGGAGGTTTGCAAATTTGACGCAGCATTGACAATCAAAACCTCATTTAAATAATAAAATAATAACAATAGATCAAGTGGGAGAAATTTGAGTCCCACATTTCACTGTGTGAAAGAGAATGTGTGAAAAGAACTGTGTGAAATGGAGTATGTGAATTTGACTGTGTGACAAGAGTACTAAGGAGTGCAATGCCCATGGCTATGTGAGGCATTGACTGTGTGGCACGCCCGGTGTGATCTCCCGTCGTTGAGTGCCTAGGGACTATGTGATGGCGGGCCGACAGTAAAAGTGTGTACACATGATATGAGATGATGAAAAAAGCAGTCGAAACAGATGAGATTGAGCTTGATGATTGAGCTATGAGATTGAACTTTGAGATTGAGCTTGGTGATTGAGCTACGTTGTTAAGTGTTTGAGCTATGTGGTTGATTGTGTGTTCATTACATATTGAAATTTGTTAAGTGTTTGAGCTATGTGGTTGATTGTGTGTTCATTACATATTGAAATTATGTCACCGGTTATTATGATTAATAATATATAGCATAGTTCCTACTGTGAGGTTGTGTTTGCTCAGTCCCATACATTAACATTTTTTAGGTTAAGGAGCTGACGACGGTCTCAAGGAGACGAGGGTGGTCGTAGTTGTTTTTAGAAAATGTTCTACTTCCGCTTTGAGTTAGTTGACTTTGTGTATGTTTAAGTTTATTATCCAAATCTTTGGCTTGTGAAACGATTTCAACTGCATGTTTAATACCTTGTGAAAAAAAGTTTATTTTGATTCGTGTCATTAATAAGAAAGAACACCCTTTTTTCTCGAGTAAAGAGAGTTTTAATCTGAAATTGTTTTTGAAAATTTAACTCGAATTTTGAAAACCAAGCTTTTTCTACTAGAAGATAAACGGGAGCGTTAACAAACAATTCCAAATCCAATGGCATTTCATTTTTCTCCAATCCCTTCTGATAAACATCCACAAGCTGGTTACAAAAACCTCATCAACTCAGGAAAATACTCAAAACAGAACCTCAAAAATTATAACAATCATAAGCAAAACGGAAAGGGCAAAAAAATCTTCATCTGTAATGAGCAGGAACAATTCCAATATCCAATGGCATTTCTTCAGTGGATAACTAATTTTACAGAAAAATGATTTCCTTCTATTGCATAAATCAGAAAATTGTATTTCTTCAGTGGAGAAGAGAAACAATTCCAATATCCAATAACATTTCATCTTTTCTCCAAATTCCCTCTGATTAACATCCAGCAGCTGCATACAAGATAGTCGAAAATGTCACCACCCAATCTAACCAAAACACTGGTTACAAAACTCTCATCAACCCAGGAAAAATACTCAAAACAGAACCTCAAAAAATCATAACAATCATAAGCAAAACAAACGGGCACAAAAAATCTTCATCTGTAATGAGCAGGAAGCCCCGTAAGCTGTTTGCTAATCGCTCGATCCTTCCTATAGCCTCTGCTCCCTCTCCTCCACTGACCTCGACCTCGACCACCCCTTCCACCAACCTCACCGTCATCATCTTCTCCTTCACCATCTTCTTTCCCCTCACTCGACTCCCCCATCTTTCTCAACCCACCCCTAAAAAACCCCCTTCC